AGCCCCGAGCCAACATGGGCTGTGGTGTTGTGTAAGCAAGGTCACCGTCCAAAACCCAAAAGACATTTTGGGTTTTGCAGAGAGCGAGCCATCCCGCCGGGCCCATCCAGAGGAGGATGCGCCTGAGCAGGAGCCGCTGTGGCCAGGGATGCAGCGTTGAGATTAATGGCCCCACGGCAGAGATGTCACCAGCAGCTGAGTGTTGTCATCCATCCCATGCTGCCACCAATGAGGCCACACTACTGCATGCGGTGTCCCTGTCTGTGGATGCACGTGGCTGGAGGGAGAAGATGGCTCCAGGCAGCAGGTTACGGATGCGCCTGGGGGATTTCCCTCCCATCTTGGATTTTGGGGAGCTGTCTTCCTGCCACCACTTACTTCAAGCCCATGGCAGCTGGATTGAGGGACTGAGGGCGACACTGTAGATGGGCACCTCTGCCACGGCCAGCCCTGCACCCTGCTGCTCGTCCCCAGCCGTCCCGGGGCTGCGTCCCCTTCAGTGTTCGTAATAAACCGAGACTGGTGAGAAGTGGGGCTGTGTCGTTTGTACTGGTAAACTGGAGGGTGGTGAGGGCAGAGACGAGGGCTATGACCCAGGGGCTGCTCCCCATGGGGACAGGGAAGTCTTGGGATGAGGGAATAGATGCCACCTGAATCTGTAACCAGCCCACCCTTGGGGACAGATGCCAGAGGCAGCGTTGCCCCCTGAGGCTGTTTCTGCCCCAGTGCATGACTGACCCATGCTGGACAGGGAGCTGACATGAGCCCTGTCCCAGGAAAAATGTCGCTAGGGGACGAGATTTGTTCCTTTATCCCATAGCTGATGAAATAAGAGAAACTCTCCCTTCTCTAAAACTTGTTCAGACTTCATTAGCTCAGACAAAAATATACAGATGTTGGGCGAGCCCGGCTAGTACAGACAAAATCTGAATCTCACTCTCCCTCCCATCCCCGTCAGACCGCATCCACCTAATCCTGCATCTTTGTAAATTAGCAGCACAAACGACCAGCGACATCTTGCACCTCATTAAAATGTTTCTCAGGGAAGCGTTGACCTGCTCTGGGCCATCACCTCCCTCCCACAAAGTCCCTACAAACCGGTGCTCGGTGCCAGGCTCGAGGTTCCCACCGCAGGCGCTGGGGTTTGTCCTTCAGCCACACGCCAGCGGCAGCGGAAAGATCTCCCTGTTGCTGAATCCAGACAGGCCGGGCAGTGGGATCTCTGGAGCGCGGTGGGACACTTTCCTCAAACCTGGTCCCTGGGGCGAGCTCCTGGGATCCGCTGAGAAGTCCTCCATCTGCTGTGGCCTCCCGCTGCTACCAGAAGGTCCAGGGGGGCTGCATCATCTCATACGTGGGGATGCTGGTGACGTTGACAGGAATGGAGATGACGGCCCAGGGGAGCCCGTGCTGCTCCAGGGAGCGTCTGATCATGTATCTGGAAGGACAAAGAGGTGACAAGTGCGCCTGAGCCACCGGATTTGGGAGAGCAGAGCCCAGCCATGAGCATAAACCACAAACCAGCTCAAAGAGAAACTCTGCGGAATTGACAAGATCTGCTAAAAATCTGGCTCACCAAGCCCAGGTGGGACACGCTGATCATGGGGACCTCCCTGTTTTGTGGGGACAAGGCTGTAGCTTGGCCCTTCCCATGAGATGTTCCACATTTGGGAAGATGAAGTGAGGGTGGCACTGGCCCAGGTTGCCCAGAGAAGCTGTGGATGCCCCATCCCTGGGCATCCCTGGCATCCAGCCAGGCCAGGCTGGATGAGGCTTTGAGCAACCTGGGCTAGTGGGAGGTGTCCCTGCCCATGGCAGGGGATTGGAACTCGATGACCTTGAAGGTTCCTTCCAACCCAAACCATTCTGTGATTCTGTGATTGATGTCTCTTGGCCAAGGCACCTACCCGTCCCTGCCCAGCAGGAAGAGCGCGGGAATGTCGGCCGTCCGTCTGGTGCTGTCCTGGATCATCTCGATGTAGAAGCTGTCGTTATCGTAGGCGTTATCTGCGATGATCACCGCCCGTCCGCCGTGCTCCTGGATCACGCGCGTCTTCGACAGGAATGAGCAACCCCTGGAGCAGAGAGTGACAAATCTTTGTTGGCCACCAGCAGGTTCTTGGCAGGCACCAAATCTGGAAGTGCCAGAGCTTGCCGGGAGATGCCCAAAATGAGGACCATCTCCGTGGCCCCACGCCTCCCCCAAACCCTGCTCATCTCTGAGCCTGTATTTTAGGCACAGGCTGCCCGCGCTCTGCCACTTTCTTTTAAATAAAACAGGGCTTTTTGCAATTTAGCACAAGCTGTTTTCCAAGAGACACAAGATGAAATGCTCTCGGGTAAGAGCATCCTGACATTTTCCTCATCTACCCACACGGGGTAAGCCACGGGAAGAAGCTGGAGATGATGGTAAAATGTGGCTGTGGCACTGTCACCCTCTGTGCCACGGGCAGCTCCCTTCTGCCCAAGGGTCCCCCCCAAACAGCTCCGTTGGTGCTGGACATACCCCCTCTCCACCAAGGCAATCTGGTCCTGGATGAAGACGCCATTATTCAGCTCTCCGCAGGCTTCGGGGGGATCCGCTGGGACCAGGTGGATCTGGTCGTACCTTGTGTTCTCCGGGGAGACAGATAAGGGTGAGTGAGGGAGAGTTGGGCTGCTCCTGTCCCCAACCCCACTGTGGCCATCCCCACTGTCCCATGTCCTGCTCGTCCCCGTGATTTAGGGCTCCCAGGTGCAGGGGTGCTGGTTGCCCCTTTCCAGCCCCTGCAGATCCATCCTGACCTCACTCAACAGCTTGCCTAGATCTCGCTGTCACTGCAGGGAGGGGAAACTGAGGCACGGCACCATGCTGGGAGCTGTGCAAGGCCATGCACTGCCAACTTTACTGGACATGGAGGGTCAGTGGGTCTCCAGGAGCACCCACCTGCACGGACACATGTCCATATGTACAAGTGCTCACAGGGAACACGTGAAGAGCCAGAAAGTACCTTCTCCTCCTCGATGTCCTGCCTATTTCCCAGCAGATCTGCTCCTGCACTCCCATCCTGACTCTGGGTTTATTCAAGGAAACGTTTTACATCTGCAAACCATCTGGGGTTCATCTCTGCTGTTCCCCACGGGAGCCCTCCTAGGACATGATTGTGCCTGACGCAGCCCTTGGAGGAGGGAAGAGT